TGGAAGACTGTAGAGGAAATGGACCTGAGGGTATTGACTGATGCTTGGCTCAACATGAGCCAGCAGTGTGTCCAGTGGCCAAGAAGGCCAATGGCATCCTGGCTTGCATCAGAAACGGTGTTGCCAGCAGGAACAGGGAAGTGATTGTCCCCCTGTACTCAGCTCTGGTGAGACCGCACCTCAAGTACTGTGTCCAGTTTTGGGCCCCTCGCTGCAAGAAAGACATTGAGGCCCTGGAACGGGTTCAAAGAAGGGCAACAAAGCTGGTGAGGGGTTTGGAGCACAGGTCTTATGAGGAGCGGCTGAAGGAGCTGGGATTGTTTAGTTTGGAGAAGAGGAGGCTAAGGGGAGACCTTACTGCTCTCTATAACTATCTGAAGGGAGGCTGGGGGTTGGGAGTTGGCCTCTTCTCCCATGTAACTGGTGGATAGCACTAGAGGGAATGGCTTCAAGCTGTGCCAGGAGCATTCAGGCTGGATGTTAGGAAATACTACTTTTCGGAAAGAGTGGTCAGGCACTGGAATGGGCTGCCCAGGGAGGTGGTGGAGTCATCGACCCTGGAGGTGTTTGGATTTTGTGTTGAGGGACATGGTTTAGTGAGAACTATTGGTGATAGGTGGATGGTTGGACTGGGTGATCCTGTGAGTCTTTTCCCAACCTTGGTGATTCTATGATTCTATAAGCTATGAAATGTGGACCAAATTCTGGTAATCCAGAAGCAGTCAGGAATCTCCACATGTAAGAGTCCATGCTGTTTCACTTTGGAATCTACTTTCCTCTTTTTTTCCCTATCACAAACACGCAGCAGCTATTAAAGCATTGTATTATCCATGTGCTCTTAAAACCTACTTCAAGACGTTACAGAGAATCATAGAATCACCAAGGTTGGAAAAGACCTCTGTAATCACCTAGTCCAACCATCAGCCCACCCCCACCATGCCCACTGACCATGTCCCTCTGTGCTACACTCATACAGTTCCTGAACACCTTCAGGGATGGTGACTCCAGCACCTCCCTGAGCAGCCTGTGCCACTGCATCACTGTTCTTGCTGAGAACATATTCTTTTTAATATCCAACCTGAACTTCTGGTGCAATCATTCTCTCTCATCCTATTACCGTTATGTGGGAGAAGAGGCTGCCTCACCACCTACCTACACTACAGCCTCCTTCAAGGTGGTTGTAGAGAATTTTGTTCCTTTTATGCCCCCTTTCCTTCACCAAAAGATACTGACAGCATCTCCAGGTGACAGCAAGAGCAGCAGGAACTCCCCCAACAGCAGAAGAGAAGAGTGCTTCCCATTTCCCAGTGTTGCCCATCCTTGTTTTAGTGGGCACAGAGATGCTGAGCTCTCCAGTAGGCTTTTTTTCCTCCTTGCTTGTAACTAGAGAAACTTCTGCAGATATCAAACTCAAAAAGCCTAACTTCCAGGTGAGGTAAAATACTAAAGCTTTGTAATATTTTTCTACTGAAATCATTAGAAAAGTAGCTGTAGTGTTATCAAGGCATCCTTAAGTTACTAATGCTAAATTAAATTGTTAAAGAATTTCTTCTGTTTTTAGTAATTCACAGATATTTTCAGAAAACATCATTAATCTTGATTTGGAGGACTGCAGTCACAACAGATGCTCTTATTCTTATTACAGTCCCTCTAATTTTGGCCACATTCTTCTATAAATATGCTCAGGTCCAACAGTGCACACACAACCTTCATGACTTTGTCCCTCCATCACACTCAGCATTCACTGATGAGTAGTTTCAGTCTACTGATAAAAACCATCCTGCTCCACACTTTGCTCAGAGCAGTCCCAGAGAAGGGAATATAAGCAGCTTAAGGTGATTATTACCTATAGAAAATTACATATCTGATATTTCATCTCTGTGGATGGACACTGGTCCCACCACTAGACCCCTGACTCTAGAGGAATCCCAGACATGTGGCAAAAGAAAGCACAAAAAGCTTGCTACACTATGAAAAAGACATAAACTGGTACAATTTTTCCCTAACTCGATTTTTCCCTGTCCAGACATTGGCAAACTGGACAACTGCAGGGGACCTGATGCTTCTGGGCAGCTCACTGACTTTCTGATTATAGAGGGTATGTATCTTAACACTGACTGCAGTATGTTAGAAAACCCCAATATCCCATTTTAATACACATTTTCCAGTTTCCTCCACCTCAGCCCTCCCGATGTAGTGTGCTGAATACTCTTCTTGGTACATTCCAAAGATCTCAAAATCCTTTAAAAACCACTTAATCATAAGTCAGAGCCAGCAATCCAAAACAGAAGCTGCACAATTAATTCCCACCCATGCCCTGGGTCCCAGCCCCACAGTGTCTTTGAGTCCACCAGAACCAAGTATGCATTTCATTTAAAGCCAGGGGAACCCGAAATGAGGCAGGTTTATATGGGGTGCTAATAACCAAATCCCTTTAGCCAGGTCAGGGCTTTGACTGCTAGATTTAAATACCACCCATCTCAAACGCTGCCCCGGGGCAATCGAACCCAGCCTTCCCCACACCCTACCTTGACGAAGAGAGAGATGTCGTACTCCTGCTTCTCCTCCTCATCCTCCAGCGCGGTCGGCGAGCCCGTCTCGTCCTCCTCGTCCTCCACCCGGCCCTGCACCCCATTCAGGCTCAGGGCCGCCGACTCCCATTCGCACCCCTCGGTGCCCGGCCACCCTCCGGGCCGCCCCGACGCCGCCGCGCCTCCTCCCCCCGAGGCAGCACTCTCCTCTCCGGCCCCGGCCGCTTCCCCGTTGCCGGCTCCTCGCTCAGCCCCCGGCAGAACCTCGGCTCCGTCCTCCCCTTCGGGGCGTGCAGGCGACCGCCGGCCGCCGTCGGCCTCCCCTGCAGCCGGCACCGCGTCCTCTGCCACCCCGGGGCGTTGGGGAGCCTCTTCGTCTCCAGCTGGAGCCTCTTCCTCCTCCTTCTCAACTTCTGCACCCGACGGGGCTTCCTCTATCACTGCTTCTTCCTCCGGGCTTGGCGCCGACGGGGCTTCTTCCTGCACCGTGTCCTCGGGGTCTGTCCCTACTCGGGATTCTTCCCGTATCTCCTCTTCGGGTTCCGTCCCCGTCGGGGCTTCCTCTCTCACTCCCTCCTCGGGCCTTAGCCCCGACGGGGCTTCCTCGCTCATAGACGTCTCGGGTTCCGTCCCCAATGGGGCTTCCACTCTCATAGCCTCCTCGGGGCTTGGCCCCGACGGGGCTTCCTCTCTCATAGCATCCTTGAAGTCCGTCTCGGACGGGGTTTCATCCCTCACTACCTCCTCGAGGCTTGGTCCCGACGGGGCTTCTTCTCTCGCTGCCTCCTCGGGGACCGCACCGGACGGAGCTTCCTCTCTCATTGCCTCTTCAGGGATCGTCCCGGACGGAGCTTCGTTCCGCACCGCCTCTTCGGGTACTGCTCCCACCGCCTTCACTTCCTGCACCACATCCTCGGAGTCCGACCCCGACGGGACTGGCACTGTCACCTCTTCGGGCTCTGCTACCGCCGGGGCCACCGCCGCTTCTTCGGGCTCTGTTCCCACCAGAGCCACTTTCCCCACCGCCTGCTCGGGCTCTACCCCCGCCGGCGCGGAGTCCACTCCCGCGGCCGCTGCCGGTTCCCCTCCCTCCAGAGCCGCGCCGTCCCCATCGGGTCCCGACAGCTCTGCCTCCTCCTGCTGCCCCGTTCCTGGGCTTTCCGCTGCCCCTCCGGGCTCTCCACCGCCCCCTTCGCTGGACACCTCGCCGGGCACCTCGCCGGGCACCTCGCCGGGCACGGCGGCCTCCTCTTGCCCGCCGGCACCCCCTCCGCCGTCGGAGGACTCATCGGAGGGTTCCTCCGCCCCGTCGGGGCACAGCGCGGTCTGCGGCTTACCCACTGCCTCCGCGCCTTCTTCTTCGCCCGCTCTCCGCGGCTCGTCGCTCCCTACCGGTTGACCCGGGCTCTCCGCCATGCCGCCTCCCCGGGGCGCCGCCGAGACGAGCGTAGCCGCAACCACCGCACCAGGATCAGAGCCGGACACCTACGGGCAGCGGGGGAACGGCCGCGCCTGCGCTGCGGGCGGAGGCAGGGAGGGCGGCGAGGGGGCGGCAGGTGCGGTGCTCCTCCTCCTCCCTGCAGCCCCGACAGGTCTTCTCCGTCTGTAGCCACCATGCCCCGGTAAATCATTCGTCCCCGGGAAAGCCCGAGCTCGCTCCCCCTCTCCGACCCTATTTCTACCCCCTGGGCTTCTGTCCCATGGAACCGGCACGAAGCCTTGCGGAAGCTGCCGGTTTGGGGAAGGTGGCTGTGGTTCAGGTTCATCCCTCAGGCTGCCTTCTCATCCAACTTTCACGCTTGAAAATTTCTCTCGCTTATAGAGGTGCTTTGCATAAAAATGATGATCAGTGGGTTCTGGTGTGAGAACTATCTTCACTAGATTTTGCTTGTAGGCAAGAGGAAATCATTTAGTAGGAGGTGCAGCCTGCTCCAACCACACTCCCTCAAGTCTAGCAGTGCTGATGGTAGAGAAGCATTGGCTATTTCACAGGTCACAGAATGGCTTTGCTTGGAAGGGACCTTAAAGATCGTATGGTTCCAACCCCAGATTTTTGTGATGGAGAACCAGGCTCCAGTGGCAGCACAGATTTGGGTGACAGAGATCTGGAGCCCAATGGCATCACAGAGTCAGATGATGGAGATCCAGATCCCAGTGATGCCTGAGATCCAAACCCCAATGGCATCATTGAGTTGGGTGATGGATATCCAGACTGTAGAGGCATCACAGAGTCAAGTGATGGAGACCCAAACCCCATTGGCATCCCGAAGCCATGCCACACACCATCCCTATTTGTCCACTTCAAACAGAAAGTAAGTAGTTCCTAGTTTTCTAAGTTGCAGAGGGAGCAGTGGGTGGAAAAGTGAGCTGACAAGAGGAAGCAGAAGGTAGAAAAAGCACTCAGTTCCACACTGTGATGCATGTGTATGTATATAAAACCACTTTGTATGTTTGGGTGTGGAAAGAGTGGGTTGAAGATGGATTTTTGAGTGGATGGAAACAGAGAAAGTTCAGCCAACAGGAGACAGGCAACAGTGAAAAATAAATAATTCAGTCAGACAAATACCCACTCTGATAATAATCTGATAGCCACTTTCCATAGAAGTTATGCTTGCCTAGAGTTGCTTTGCTAGTGAGGCAGAAGAACAGGGAGATGCAGCCTGACCTGCTGGGCAGCTGTGGTCATCAGGGATGCTTCTGGACACTTGGCAATGATGGGCTTAGTATTTGGCAATAGCAGTCTTGAAGCTAGACCCATAATTAAGCAATTATTTCATTTCTCTTATGGATTCTAATATCAGTAGGTTGACACATCTCAATCACTTCTATTTCTACACGGATAGGGCTGGTTCACTCATCTCAGGTCTTGCTGAAGGGACTATAACACGTGGCCCAAAGGTTGCACCCCATGTACAGCATTTTACATGTAAGACAGAGCAGAGCCGGCGGCAGCAGAGTAGGCAAGCCATGAGCACTGCCATCCTTTGTGTGTTTCCACAGGTATACACACAGATGCTTTCTTCATTTTGGTGGAGTTAGGACCTGGCAATGTCACGTGGTTGGGTCCGTGCTGCCCGCTCTAGCAGCCCATTCAGCTCCACACTCTTCTCTCAATTACTGGGCAATTACTTAACAATTAATCTCTCCCACTTGGTGCTCTTTTATACTGTCTTCAAGCTCTTTACATCCCATCTGTTTCTAACACAGGCCCTCAGCTAATAAATATTATTTCCCTAGTTCAGCTTTGGGAAGGATTACTGCACACCTTCATTTAGAAGCTGAGTGCAGGTAATTAAATATCACATATGTTCGACATTAGTGGGCATCATGGTGATCCCCTCACAGCCTGCTGGAAGCATGCTGCATCCTGAGGGCCCATCAGTTATGCTGCATTTGCTTGGATTATTATCACTTCCTTTCCTCCCTTCACTGCATGGGGAATCATGCAATTATCATTTTGCATCCTAAGGTAAGGAAAAAATGCCACTTACATTTCATAGAATCATAGAATGGATTGGGTTGGAAGCGATATTAAAGATCATTTAGTTCCAACCCCTGCTGTGGGCAGGGCTGCCCCCACCAGCTCAGGCTGCCCAGGGCCCCATCCAACCTGGCCTTGGGCACCTCCATGAATGGGGCACCACAGCTTCTCTGGGCAGCTGTGCCAGTGCCTCACCACCCTCTGAGGAAAGAATTTCCTTCTAACATCTCACCTAAATTTCCCTTCTTTTAGTTTAAAGCCATTCCATCTTGCTTTATCACTGTCAGATCATATAAAAAGACTGTCTGCCTTCGGTTAATAATCTTCCTTCAAGTACTGGAAGGCTGCAATGAGGTCTCCCTGGAGCCTTCTCTTTTCCAGGCTGAACAAGCCCAGCTCCCTCAGACTTTCCTCACAGGAGAGGTGCTCCAGCCTTCTGATCATCTTCATGCCCTCCTTTGGATCCACTCTAACATCTTCATGTCATTTTTGTGCTGGAGGTCCCAGGTCTGGATGCAGTACTCCAGATGGGGCCCCAGAAGTGCAGAGTAGAAGAGGACAATCAGTGAACTCAGTGGTCAGTAGAAGTGAGCAGACAGGCTGTGGAGTCTCCTTCTCTGATGATATTCAAGACTTGCCTGGACACCTTCCTGTGCAATCTACTGTAGGGAACATGTTTCAGCAGGGGGTTGGACTAGATGATCTCCAGAGGTCCCTTCCAACCCTTATAATCCTGTAATTCTGTGATTCAGTGAGACATTCATCATGGTCAGTGTGGACAATCTCCACGTCTGCAAGCCCAAGAGTCCAGCAGAGATCTAGTGAAATGACAACTCATCCCCCAGTGTACATCTGAAATAGGCTGTGTGGCCATGGCATTAAAGTCCATTTCTCTGCACTGACTGCTGAGAAGCTAGAGGTGACTGGTGCATGGCAAGATCTCTCTGCTTCACCCACCTAAACTAACATGCCATTAATCCCCAGGTGATGTTCATCAAGGCTGAAGTTTGGGAATGATCAGTAGGCGACATGTGGACTAAAGATTCCTTAGTTTCTCCCCACAATGTGTTATTTTCATTGCAGCTTGTGGCTTTGCTGAAATTCCCACAAATTATTTGTGGTGTAATACAGTATTTTTATATATTTAGGTTGGATATTAGGAAAAATTTCTTCTTGGAAAGAGCGGTGAGGCAGTGGCACAGGCTGCCCAGGGAGGTGGTGCAGTCACCGTCCCTGGAGGTGTGCAGGAGCCGTGTGGATGTGGCACTGAGGGACGTGGGCAGTGGGCATGGGGGGGGTGGGCTGATGTTGGCCAGAGTTATCATAGAGCTATTATCCAACCTTAGTGATTCTGTGATTCTGTAAAAGAATATAGCTGTTTTGTCCTTTGTGATGGAAAAAAAAATATTTTATTGAAATTATGAAAAAGATACAGCTACAAATGGGAAATATATATATACTGGAGGACTGTAATTTTTCATGTACCTCTGTTCTTTCTGCCCCTGGCTCCTTAAATGCCTGCCCACCCAGCGTGGTATCCTACTGCTTTGTGCTTGGCAAGATGCCCCATCCTCTCAAGCCAAATTAAGAGTGGGAGAGACCCCTGAAAATGGCAGTGGTGTTGTGTGCTGGGGGTGCCATCTGTATTTAGTGCTCTGAGCTGCCCGGCACTAAGCTGCTTAGGGTGATCGGCTCCCTCCCAGCTGCTTAGCTGCCTGCGGGGCACCGAGCGGGATCTG